ATTTATTTTCTTCACTTTCAGCTTCCAACCATTTAAACATATCATATTCTTTATCAAATCATATATACCTTATTCAATATTTAATTGATGCACATTAATATTCAATATATATATATATATATATATGCCTTAGGTAAAGGTTACACATTATAATTCTCCTTTTATAGGTCTTAATCAAATTTACAAAAAAAATAAATTAAAATACACATGACACTAAAAACATAATTACACCAAAGGTATTTTTAGTTGGTAACTGGGAGGTAATATAAACATATTTTCTATTTTTCTACTCTTTTCTGCTTGAGTGTTGGTATTAAAAAATGTTATTTTGGTCAAATCAATAGGTAAAGAAGAGATTGTACATTATACCAAAAGAAACAAGATCCAATAACTTTGATAATTAAAGGTGAAATTAGAAATCAAAGTAAGAAAACCAAAGATTTCTTTGGAGAAGTATTTCTTCCTTTTAGAGAGTTCGCCAAGTAGGATTAAGATATCACTTTAAGAATTTGCACATCTTCTTTAGTATACAATTTATAACTCAAACATGTTTCTTAATACTAATATTTATGTAATTTATTAAAAATTTATGGTCAATAAAATTGGGTTACACGCGTAAGACGCGTGCCCAGAAACTAATATATATATATATATATAAAACAAAATATTACCTTATATGTTTAATAGTATTATTTTTTGTTGAGGGGGTTCAGGTGAACACTCTCACCGCCCTCTAGATCCACCCCTGTTTACAAGGTAAGGTTAGAATTCTAAAGAAATAGTTATCATATTGAAACTCATCTACAATTTAAAATAACTAGTAAATCTAGACATAAATTTTGAAATATAATTTTTTCACAAAAGAAAAAAACTTAAATATGCATTTTCTTAATCATATAATCATATATATATATATATATATATAAAAGAAAACCCTAGACCGCGCCATCACAAACCAGGAATCCCTTTTAATTTATTTTATTTTTAAAACTAGCCTTCCCCTTTCATGAAAAGTTGTGACTTTTATGAAGAGTTGCGACTTTTATGAAGAGTTGCGACTTTTATGAAAATTTGTGACTTTTATGAAAGGTTGTGACTTTTCGGATACGACACAATAAGCATTTGTTCACATCACCTTTTGTTGTCTATAAATAGAGGAATTTCCTCTCATTTTAAAACAAAGAAAATTTTGATCTTCTTCTTTTTCTTTTGGACAATTAAATAATTGCGTACTTTGCTCCTGTTGAATGACTCACAGACACAATTTTTTTGTATCAATACTCTGGTGAATAAAATCGTTCTTTCTTCAGAGGATCAATTCCTTTAAATCTCGGGTACTAGGGGGAATAATTTCCTTAAGGAAACACTGTACATTCAGTGCGATCAATTTTTTCCATTCTATTGTTACAAATCCTGGTATGTTTTAACAGTCATTAATTTATGCTTATATTATTAATTATTATTTTTGAGTACATGCTTTAAATTTTGTTGTTTATGTTTCTGCAATATTATTGTTATAAGTATTTGTTAGTACATATTAAATAATAAACGTTAATTGATTATTCAAGCAAGTTTTGTCTACTGAAATTGTTGAAGGTACAATAAAAAAACCCTTACAAATCTATAATCTGATCATCAACAATGTTATTTCTTCGCATACAAGGATGAGATTTTGTGTTCTTTAGAAATTCCTCTGAGAGTTAATAACTTTGCATGCCCATATTTTTTGTTTTTATGTTGTTGTTATCTATTTTTACTAAATTTTATCACTGGATATTATGAGTACTTTAAAGATTGAAAGTTGATTGAAGTGTTGGTCAATTTTCTAAGGTATATTATTTTAAAACATGAGAACTTTTCTGGTTAGAATGATTTGTTATCATCATTGGATATCTCATGGTTTACTCCCTTTAATGTATGTTTTTCTTGCTGTTTTGTTGTCTCGTTAAAATTGTATTGACTATTTTTTGTTTGGTATGTATATGATCTCACTTGGACAAAGCTTTCGTCCTTTTAATGTTTTTCTGTTTTTCCTTCTCATTCAACTCTACTAAATATTTTTGGTGTGAGTTATAACTATTTTCAACAAGCTTTATTTGAAGAATATGAAACAAAACCTGCTCTAAATAAAAGTAATATCTTAAGCTACAAAAGATATGTCTATTAACATAGATTTGTTGTCCTTTTTGTCGCAAGTCATTGCTGAGCATTTGAGTTATCTAGGTTAGACTCATTTTAAATTTTTTAATGTTCAAGAATATTTCTTTAACATGGTCTAGAATCCAACATTTTGATCTACTTGTACTTTCATAATGCAACAACTATACATATATATTTCTGAAAAGTCGTAAAGTTGCATTGATGAAGCATCTAGAAGGGCCTTCAGAGCAACAGTTTAATGAAGAATTAATTTCTTAAAGGGACAACAATATTATTTTGTTATTGTTTCAAATTTATTTTTCTCCTTCTATAAATTTTTTTAGAGTAACAAAATAACAATAACGAAATGTGGTGAAAGTTTGACTTCAGACAAGTAGATTATCTCTAAAAAAATTATTTATGTTGTTGTGGTGTACATTTTTAATGTTCTTAACTTATTTATAACTAATATTGATTATCGAAATTTTTTTATATAATTTGTTTTTTAACTAGGAGTTATTCTAACCATAAAATTATCAGTTCTATATTTTTCATGTACAAAAAATAGAAAAAAATATGTTTAATCACTGCATAAAAACATCACTCAGTTTTAACAAGACAATTATATCATCAAACATATATTATGATAAATTATGTAAAAGATAAGAATGATTAGATATCAAGATATTTTAAATCATTCATTATATATTTAAAATTCTTGAGATAGGTGATAATGTCAAATCATTTAATTTCTGTTGAAATGTTCTTAAAACCTACTAAAATTTACTTTTTTTTTTCTTATTACAATCGATTATTGGAAAGACTGTTCAAAAGCTTAGCAAAATTAATTATTCGCGCGGGTAAATTACCTAGTATCATTCCTATTTAATAAGTGTGAGTCCTCAATACTTCCTTCCTATTTAATAAGTGTGAGTCCTCAATACTACCAAATTATTGTGTCTTTGACAACATTACCCTTCACTTCTATTAATATTTCTTTCTTTTTCTTCTATTAATATTTCTTTCTTTTATATAATATTATCTATATATATTATATTATATATTTTATATTATCTATTATATATTATCTATATATATAAGTCTTGGACTACCAAGGGTATTCCCGTCATCATCATCATCATTTCATCATTTATTTTTTTTCATCATCATCATACTTTAGAAGTGGTGG